GGAGAGAAGGCTCTGCACAGTGGGATCTGATTACTTACCTGGAGGGGTGGTGCTTGGTCCTCTGCCTCCCATCACTGTCTTGGGGTGTTGAACCTGGAGCAGCAGTTGGGGAGGATTTTTTTGAACAGTAAATTATTGGATGCAGTAATTGTATTTGTCAGGCAAAACCTTGAGGGAAAGGCCTAAAGCTGTTCTGGTTTGTTCAGGAGCAGGTCTTGCCCAGCCCGCTTTCCACAACACCTTTCTATTTCATGTGGTCCAATATTAGCATTTATTACAGAATCACAGGATGGTTTGGGTGGGAAGGCCCTTAAAGCTCATCCAGTTCCACCCCTGCCATGCGCAGGGACACCTTCCACTACCCCAGGGTGCTCCAAGCCCTGTCCAACCTGACCTTGGACACTTCCAGGTGTGGGCATCCACAGCTTCTCTGGGCAGCCTGTGCCAGAATAACGGGACCACAGCCCAGTGACCCTTTACAGCTCTGTGGTTCAACACCCATTCACAGATCATGACCTGTGTGCTTCAGTCCAGTGCCCCAAACGAGCTGTTCCTTCACCCATGGTAGGGATTTCTTGGCAGGACAGGTGAAGGACCCCGCTGTGACCCAGAAGGGGAGGGCTCAGGTGACATTAGTGTGTGTGTGTGTACATGGAGCACCCCAGCCCCGGGGTGCAGCTGCAGCAGGAAGGTTCTGTAACAAACTCAGAACCTAAAAACTGCACACCTGCCTCGCTGTGTGAGGGCAGAGAAATTCAGATCCAGCTTTTATAATCCTGTAAAGGGACAGACAAGGTCAGGGACCGGCGGTGTGGGGCGAGAGCAGCCCCAGCAGTGCTCCAGGACTAAAGGGCCGTTTCCTCCCTCTGCAGTGGTGCTGGCTCTGGCCGCGGCGCTCCGAGCCCTGTGCCTGGCCACGCGCAAGGTCCGCACCGTGCTGTGGTGTGCCTTCCAGATGACCCTGCCCAAACCCTCGGCTGGCAAACGGGCTCGGGAGAGACTTCCTCAGGAGGGGGCAGCGCCCGAAGAGAAACGAGCCGAGACCCCCCCGGCTGCGGCCGCGGCCCCGCGAGGGCCCAGGGAAGGGGGGACAGAGGGAGCCCCGGGGCCGTGCACGGACCTGCTCCGCAGTGTGTATGAGAGAGGAGACATGAATTCCTCGTAATTTTTGGTTTTCTTTAGTTACTTCAAAGTTTCAAGTGTAAAGTTCATATTTAAAGCTGTATCTTGATGAGAAGTGAGATTTGCCTTAAGGGCTCTCAGGTTAAGCTGTTAACATGATGGGCAGGGTCAGAATGTTGTAAAGCCAAACTGGTGAATGTTAACTTAAAAAAATAATCAGACTAATTCATTAACAGCCAAGATATTATTTAACTCCTGCGGGTGAAGCCTGGTGTCCAACTCTCCCCATAACTCCTTTTAGTTTTGCTTTAGGAAATAGGTTTTTAAATAATGATTCTTAAAGACTGTGGTGTGACGGGGTGTGAGGTTGGTGTCAGATCAGATTGTGATGTAAAATGGTTTCCTTATTGAACTAAAACCTGGAAACAGAAAGAAAAAAGGCTAGAAATACCCAATATTCATGTAAAACTAGATATTTAAAATACAAATATTTATGAATTTGAGATTTTAAAGTCTATGTTTGGGAAAGGCAATATGCACCAGGTGCCACTAAATTACCAGTAGAGCATAATTGCTGTGTGAAACCATGAATTTAGTGAATGTGTTCAGATATTTGGAATGCTCTTGGGAACAAATGAACTACTGTTGTAAAGTATTTAAGCATAATCAAACTACGACAGGCAGACAGGATTGTCCTGCAGAGCTGTGAAGGAGCTTCAATAATGAGCGTTGTTTTTAATTTAACTTCAGAAAAGGTCGTGCCAGGTTCTGAAATTTGGATTTTCTTAAAGTTACTAGTTTGGTTTGAAATTTGATTGTCAACTTCTAGACTTCTTAGTTCCCTTCTGCATTTGGGCATCTCCCAGCAGTGGTGTTTGCTTGCAGCTCTCAGTCTTTAGGAGCAGGAGTGATGGATTCACCAGCACCCAATGCTGGTGCTCAGGACAGAGTGGCCCTGGGAAACTCACTTTAACAGTGGGTTAAAGTTACTGAGCTGACCATGCCTGCACACCCTGGTACCCACATGGCTCTGTCCTTCCTGCTGCTGGGAATGCTGATATGCAGAAGGGGTGATGGCATTAGATAAATTGTCATTAGATGATGTGCAGAAACGACTGAGAAAGGCTCAGCAGAAGGTGGGGTGTGATCACGGCAACGACAGAAGTGCTGCCGGGTGAGAGGGGCAGAACAAGCACAGCTTCCTAACAGCCACTGCACTGGGGGTTGTTCAGTTTGACCCAGGCTGTGTTGATGTTAAAGCAAAACTGACTGTGCTGACTGGAGTTGTCTATAAGAAATAAATTCATTTTTGTTGAAGAGCTTCTGTTCTGCAAGTGTGTTTCCAGGCCAGGCTCCTCAAGCCTGAACCGGTACCAGGGGGAAGCATTCGGTCTGTTATGGACTGTGTTCAGGAAGAGCAAAGGGGATGCTGAAATGCCTCTCTGGAGACAGCTCTGACCATAACACTGGACATGCCACGGGAGCCAGAGTAGGGAATGTTTCTTCCCTGCAAATGTCTCAGCTCCAAGCTCTGCACTGCCAGGGAAAGCTGATGCAGCAATTCTGTCCTCTGCACTGGGAATCTTCGGGGTGAGTCCAGAGTATTCCTGCTCTATAAATAACTCTGTGCTGTCAGTGCCAGCTGTGCACTGCTGACTGTCCTGAATAGAGCAGCAGTGGCTGGAGCTCCACAAGCTGAGTTGCTGCTTGCCTGGGCACCTGATCCATGGCACAAACTGCTGGCATGGGAAGGGGTGGGCCCACAGTCCTGGGGGGCAGGGGCAGGACTGTGGGGTGAGCAGAGGGGGCAGCCCTGCAGACTCATGGGCTGGGAAGCCTCAGCTCACTTCAAGTTTCCAACACCAGTGAGGGTTTTTAAGACCACTGGTGCTGCTCCTGGCCATGGTTCCACTCTGCCTCAGGACAGCTGCTGGATGCCAAAGGGCTGGATTTGTCCTTGCTCCTGGTCCCTGTCCCTGACAGGGCCTTGATTTAGCCAGATAGACATCACAGCCTGGCCCAACCCTGTGCCTGGCTGGGAGTGCAGGGGACAGTGGTGCCTGCAGAGGGATCTGCAGGGCTGTGGGAGCCAGTTCCCACTGTGTGTGTGACTGTGCCCTTCTTGCATCCATGCTGACTCCTATGGATGTGCACACACGGTGCAGCTGTTGTTCCTGGACAGGCTTTGGAGCACAGCAGTGCTTCCCCTGAAGAGGTGAATGCTGCCCTTCCCTGGACCCTCACAATCAAAGGTCTCAGGAGGCCATGACAGGCTCAGGTGGGCTGTGCCTATGCAGGTAGGCAGCCCTAGCCCTCAGCTTGCGTTTTCCTTGGAAGCCAAGGGCTGAGCAGTTCAGTGCCAGGTCACAGAGCTCTGGGAAAAGCCACTTCAGCTGACAAGGAGGGGCAGCAGCTGCTGCCAGAGCAAGAGGCATGCCAGTAGGAGGTGAGATTGCCCCTGCTTCCAGCCTCCTGAGCCCTGCAGGTGGCCAGGGCTGCCTCAGGCAGAGTTAGTGCCTTGCCCAGCCTCAGCCCAGGGCTGGTGCACAGGGCTCCAGGGCACCAGGATGTGAGGGCTGGCTCGTGGAGCTGGGTCTGAGTGACACCCCCTCCCTCAAGAGCTGCTCCCTGCCCTGTTCCACCGCAGTCCCACACCCTGGCAGCTGCCTGAGCCACCTGAAATTCCAACCAGGAACTGCTGCAGTGCACCAGGCCAGGTTGGGAAGAGAGCCCTGGGGAGCAGCACAGCTGGGTCAGCTCCCAGGAAAGAGGGCACCACAGCCCTGAGAAACAAGGCATGACTGAAGCTGCATCTGCACCAAGGCAGCAACAGGCAAGCCTTCAGAAATGCTGCTGGGCAAGGGGCCAGCCAGGACACGGGACACACCACTGGCACTGCCATCATGAATGGCAACATCACTCACAGGAACCCATTTTTTGTCAATCAAGATTTAATACTCAAGTCCAAAGACAAAGCAGCTGGAGACTCACACACACACAGCAGCAGCTTGAGGGAAGGCCTGGCCCTGGAGTCAGAGCAGTGCTGAAAGCGGTGCTGGGTCGGGCACCCTGGGAGTGCAGGAGCACGGGAGCTCAGCACAGGTCACCTCAGAGCAAACACCTGGAGCATGCTGCAGCACAGAGCCCAGGCATACCCGTTCCTCCCACAGCCCCTCCTTCTCCCTCAGTTCACAGGATTAGTGTTCTCCTTCCTCAGTGGGCAACACCATCACAAAAAGGCTGGAGCAGCAGGGATGAGCCTTCTGGGGGGAGGAGGAGCATTCCTGCAGTTCCTGAAGGCAGCTGTGCCCAATGGGCAGTGACCCCACTGCATCCCTGCCTCACCCTGCTTGTGCTAAAGCAGCTTCAGAGCTTCACCCTAGCAACAGCCATGGAAGTAACAGTCCATGTTCACCCCACAGAACATCAGGGAGCACCATTTTCCAGCTCTCTAGAGTCTTAAAACTGCATTAGGAGTGCGGTTTGCTGCTGCTGAGGCCAATGCTCCTGCCTGGGCAGTGTTTCCCTCACTCACAGTCCGTGGGTGATGCAGTCACATCACTGCAGCTCACCTCTGTTTCACACATCTCACTCCTCTGCTGCAGCCCAGCACTGCCCTGTGCTGAGCGCAGCTCCAGTCCTGCTCACCAGCCCAGCCTGAGCAGGGTGGAGTGTTGGCCTCAGCAGTGCAAACACAGTGATTCGCAAAGACATTTTTCAGGGCTTGTGTCAGTGAATTCATGTGTGCCCCAGGGCAGCATGTCCTGGCTAGTGGCAGGACAGGCTCAGCTCAAACCACGGCCAGTGCAGGGGCTGTTCCTACACCATGCTCTGCTCCCAGGTGCTCAGAAGTAAAAATGGATCAATTTAACAACACGGACATAATCACTTCACCCTTCTTTGGTACAGACACTGGCCATGAGCACTGACTGGGACACTGATACCACAAGCACAGGGTACACTGAGTCCAGGAGCTGCTCAGAGATTCTGTTCTGCTATGTAACAAAACAAAAAAAAAAAAAGAAAAAAAAAAGGCACCACTTTCCAAGAACTGCTCCCAGCCACGTGCCTGGAATTCTTGCTGCTTTTTAAACACACACCGTATTCAGAATTAATTTTATCCTTTGAGAGTCCAACTGGAAATCACCAGCTACCGCTTCCGCTCGCCTTTCTGTGTTCGTTTCTTCTCCTTCTCCTTCCGCTCCTGCTTGGCCAGCTTGTCCTTCTCCCGCTGCAGTTTATCCTGCTCTTTCTTCTTCTGGAACTCATCCCGCAGCAGCTCCCGCTCCAGCTTCCTGGCGTTCAGCACATCCTCCACGTTGGTGTTTCGGAACAGCGCTGGGGCGGGCTAAGGGCTGACAACGCTCTGGCTGAGGTCACCTGGGACAGTGCCTGGGCACATGGGAAGTTTGTTCTACCTCCCCTCTCACCTTCTGACTCCCTGCTTCCTCACCAGGCAGGTAAGGAACTGGGGAATGAGGAATGCAGAAAGGAGAAGGAATCTCTGGTTGCTTTTCCAGAAAGAAAAGTCAGGTTGAAAAAACACCCACTCCCAGAGAAGGAAGGGTCTGGAGCACAAGTCCAGTGAGGAGTGGCAGAGGGAGCTGGGGGGGCTCAGCCTGGAGAAAAGGAGGCTCAGGGGGGACCTTCTCACTCTCCACAAGTCCCTGACAGGAGGGGACAGCCAGGTGGGGGTCAGGCTCTGCTCCCAGGGAACAGGGACAGGGCAAGAGGAAACAGCCTCAAGTTATGACAGGAGAGGTTTAGGTTGGATATTGGAAAAACTGCTTCATGGAAAGGGTGGTCAGGCATTGGCACTTGGGGACAGAGGTTAGTGGTGGCCTTGGCAGTAATGGGGGAATGGTTGGACTCAATCCCAGAGGGCTTTTCCAACATTAGCGATTCTGTTTTTTCCTAGAAAAATGAGGTTGCCTACTGGATCTTAAGACTGATGTGTAAAAATACATGTCAAACCTCTACAAACCTGAAAGGAAGCAAACACACAGGGCACAGCCTCGAGTAGGTTCACTGCAGCTCTGTGTGACATGTCTGAACAGATACCTACATGTACATACATGTGTGTTTGTGCAGACAGACAGGTACATACATACATGTCCCTAATGTACGGACAAGAATAACTTAGGTTTCATATTTAATTATGTGATAAAACCTGCTTCCATCTTAAATTTGCCAGCTGGGAGCTCAAGGATGGTCCCAATTCTGAGACAGACACGGGCCCATTGGTTCTGCCCACCCTGAGTGCTCAGCTGCACCACGGCCTGCCAAGCTTCATTCCTGACACGATTTCCCTCTCTGGACACCAGTTAACATCAACCTGATGTTCTGGGAGCATTGTCCTTATCATTAAGCACGTTCTATGAAGCTGCAAAAAGGTGGAAGAGGGCAAGAGGGGAGGAGAAGGAAATGAATGGCAGGATTGGTGTGAGCGCTGTGCAGAGCACACAGACTGTCACTGTCAGTGTCACTGTGAGCAAGGTCAGGGTACACACAGAGAAAAAACAATCCCCAAGCTTAAAAGTTGGCCCTACAGAAACAGGGAGACCAGCACAGGGAGGGAAGGATGGGAAACTCACCATGGAGGCTGCCTGCCTGACAAGCAGCCTGAGTCACCAGGAATTCAAAGGATACATTTTTCTGATCCAATATTTACAGCTGTCATCAATCCATCCTGTTCATCCCCACCAGTGAGAGAATTAAGGAAACACAGACATCAGTAATGATCTCGTGTCTCTCTCCAGCCACACTGGACTCAAGTAACAGCCTTATAAAGCCAGGAAGAAGCAGCTGGACTCTCACAGACCAGGTATGCACAGCTCCTGCTGCTCCAGGGCCAGATACAGTTGCCTACAGTTCACTCTGCTGGGCAGGGAAGAGCTCATTCTTCAGCACCACAAAGAGTTAACTTCTAACCCTCCCACTCCACACACTCTCTCTGTAAAGGATTATTTCAGCAGATTTCTCCTGGGAAAGCAAGAGAGATCAGCACCAGCTGCTGAGGGATGGGGGCATTCACTGCTCTCCTGCCACACACCTGGGCTGGGCAAAGAGCCACAGCCACGTGCTGCTGGGGACAAACACCCTCCCAGGAGCATCTGCTTGCAGCACTCCACAAACAAGGAGCTTCCATGCTTTGTCCATGGCAGTTATTTTATTGAAGGAAGACTGCAAAGCTTCCCCAGCTCTCCCCAGGGCCCTGCAGAGCTGGGAGGGCGTTGATTGAGGAGGTTTAGAGCAGGTGATGTCCCTCACAGCCCCCAGCAATGCAGGAAAAGGATATTCCTCCTCGTCAGTCACGTTGGCATACTGGGCCAGGAGCGCAGCCTTCCTCTGCTTCTCTTCCTGAGACACCTCCTTGGGCTTCACCACTATCCTGGCCTGCTTCTCCATCATGCTGGCGATGGCCTGGACCTCATCTGGCAGGAGAGGAGTGACAGTGTCAGCCCAGGTCACAGACAGAGCCACCGAGCCCCTGGTGTCACTCACTGCCTGCTCCCTCTGCAGCTCCACCCAGCCCGTGCCCTGCAGGGGAAATGCGCCCACCCAAAGGGAGATGTCTCACCCAAAAACACCCCCTGAGCTTTTCCCAAGGGCACTAGTGGTGCTGTCAAAGCCAGCTGCTTTGGGGAATTCCAGTTGGGATCTGGGAGAGATGGAGCTGCTGAGGAGCCACCACGGGGCTGGCTAGGGCCAGCACGGGGCTGACACCCTGAGGTGACAGGTGGTGGCACCCTGTGCTTCTCTCTTCGAGGGAACTCCCTGTGCTGCACCCAGCAATCACCAGACACTGTTATTCCTGGAGCAGACACTGTTATTCCTGGAGTAAGGCAAGTCTCACAATGAAACTGGAATCAGTCAGGCTCTGGCTAATGAAAATCCATTTGACTCCAAATCACATTCTCTTTCGCTTCAAAACAGCTTAATAAGTTTAGTTAAGTATGTACTTAACCCCCATCAAAGAGAAATTCTGAAAACCTGAAGTGAGAGATCAGTTCCATGCTCTCCCCCTCTTTCCAACCAAGAGAGACCAACAGCTGATTTACCTTTTAACACTGAAATTCCATTTCCTAAATAACATCCGGGTTTTGATGGCAATTTTTTTTAGTCTGTTAATCACTTATCCTCAGGACTCTGTCATTCTGAGTGGATACACACTTCAGTGGGGATTTATCCTTTTATGGAACCCCAGTGATATAATTTCACCCTGGAATTCCATGAACCCAGACACACTGTGCTGTCTTTTTATAACAAGAAAAATCCCTGTGGGTGAGCACTGTCAGGAGCAGGAGGAGCCCAGCAGCAGCTCCAACAATCCCAGTCACTTGTCCTCAAGAGGAATTTAATTTATTTAATGCATGGAACAGCATTAACTTTCCCCTGTCCCCAGCCAAAGGCAAGGTCAGGCCAAGAGCAGACTTCCAGGATTTCTGGGGAAAGCCACTGAGCTGCTGAGTGGTGGAGCTACTGTGTCCATGCAGTGGTGAGGCACGGGGGGATGCTGGGGCTGATGCAGTCACCAGGGACTTGCTGCCAGAGCCATTCCCGGGTGACACCAGGCACTGACAATGTGCTGTTTGCAACCAGAGGCAAAATGAAAAGCAAACAAAAAGCAGGACTTAGACCAAAGGGACATTCCATTATCACGATCTCCTGTCAGGTCTGTGCCACTGCAATGTCACTGATCCATGCTTGAACCACAAATCCTCCCAGCTCACAGCTCCACTGCATCCAGAGCCTTGCACAGGGAGCAGGACAAACACCCCACACACAGACAGGGCCAGGTCTTGGCTCCCAGATGAGCACAAGGGATGGACACAGGGCTGGGGAAGGAGCAGTGACAGTTTGTCAGCAGCCTCACAGAGCTTCCTCCAACAAACATTTATGGAAAAAAGGGAGAGTTGCAAGGGAAAATGTTGGAAGAGGAAATACAGACGTGAGTAGGGTGAGCAGCAGCAGCAGGGACAGCCCAGCTCTCCACAGGGGCACTGCAGTTGGACAAACCAGCTGCTTTCCAGACTGCCCAGACAGAAGCAACACGGGTTTTTATACCATAATAGCTGCAGTGCCAGCACTGAGCAGAGACAGCTCTGGATGTGCTGGGAAAGGAGGTTTCTGAAAAAACCACAGAATGGTTCGGGCTGGACCTTAATGACCATCTCATCAGAAAAAAATCCTGTAGGAAAAAAAAACCCACACACAAAAAAACCCACCAAAACCACATACATAAAGAAAACCCCAAACAAAACAAAAACCTACCAAAAAACCAAACCAAACAATCAAAAAAATAACCAAACAACCACCACAAAAAAGACCCAAAAAACAACAGAAGGCAAAAAAACCCACAAAAAAAAATCACTTTTCCCCTGCAGGATGATGAACCCAAAGAGCAGCGAATGCTGGGGCAGCCCAAAGAGAAGCTGCTCATCCCCATGCCAGGTGAAAGAGTAACTGAGCAGCAATGGAGTGAGAGGCAGCTCAGACCTGCAGCCACAGGGCAGCTTTGGTTTAACTCCTACCAGGACAAACACAAAGTTCCCTTTGAGGTGAGGCCCTGCAGGTCACCCCACACTGAGGACCAGGACACAGCACCCCAAGGCACAGCACTCTACCTTCTTTCTCCTCTTTGGAATCAACGACCTGGGAGTCAGACCACCTCTCCACAACCTCCCTGCACACATCATTCAAGAGATCTTCTTCCTAGAAAGGGAAAAGAGACTCCTCAGACTTGGAACAGAGTTGGCTGCTTCAAACAAGCACCAATCAGACAAGAAAAGCAGCAGCTACAAAGGATCTGCACACCCAGCAGTCAGCTCAGGAGCAGCTTTTCACCCCAAATCTGCTGTTAAACACACAAGGGACTCTGGGTTCCCTGGAATGACACAAGCACACCATGTCTGGTCACTGTGCACATGGACACTCTGACACACGTGGGTTCCTGTCCTGGGTTGACAAGGAAGTGAGTTTTCTTGGGAAGGAAGTTATAGCCAAACAAATCAGTGGTCAGATTTGAATATTGACACCTGGTGTAACCACTGAAGACATGAACACACCTCTGAGAACACAGCGGGTTAAAAGCAGAGAAGTCCCAGAGGACTTTCTCTTTTGTTCTGATCAGTGAAGAGCTCAGACCTCAAGGGTGGCTGTGCAGGTGCCCCAGCCCTGCCCACACCCACGAGGCCACTGGGGGTCTTGGCTCCCAAAGCCTCCCGCCCTCATCCTCTCTCTTCCTGAGCAAGGCCACGGGGAAGTGACTCAGTGCTACCTCCACACCAAGCTCGCTAAAGGGAATAATTTACATGGGATAAATCACAGGTCAGGGGCAGTGCAGAGCTGGAGCTCCTGTGCTGGTGCTGACAGACCATCACCTCCCACCTGCAGGGACATCCTGGTCCCCCTTGACCTGCCTGGAACATTAAACACAACTTAGAAGTGGCAGTGGGACACATCCCCCTGCTCCTGCAGGGGCTCCTCCAGGGGCTGCAGGTGAATCCCTGCTCCCACGTGGATCTCCAGGGGCTGCAGGTGAATCCCTGCTCCCACGTGGATCTCCAGGGGCTGCAGGTGAATCTCTGCTCCCACGCGGATCTCCAGGGCTGCAGGGGCACTGCTGCCTCACCATGGTGTCCCCACAGAATCTCAGGGGATCCCAGCCGTGGTGCCTGGAGCAGCTCCTGACCCTGCAGAGCTCTCACAGCTTCTCACTCCTGTCTCCAGCTGTGCTCCTCCAGGTGTTTTTTTCCCCTGCTTAAATTTGTTACTTAAAGGAGGTGAATGTCTTGGAGCCCATTGGCATTTGCTCCATGGAACACAGGAGAGCCAAACACCACAGATGGGGGTCACAGAGCTCAGGGGCCACCACCAAATATTTCAAAAAAACAAGAAATTATATTGGTTTGACATTCAGTAAATACAGAGAAAAATCTGAAAGTACAAGTGAGGTGGATTCTGTCTGGTTTAAAGAGAAGAACTGGACAGAAACAGAACTCAGTTTGAAGTTTCTTCATTAGGAATGGTAGAACATCACTAGTGCCAGACATGATCAGGAGTGAGGAACCATGGACATGACAGCAGACATCACTTGAGATGCCACCTTATTTTAATAGTGTTTGTGAAATACAAACAAGTTAACAAAAAAGTCCCCTGTAATTTGTGTATGGAACTAGAGGAGAGTTGGCAAGAAAACCCCCAAATTCACCAAATAAAACACTGCTTCAAAAGTCAGTACAAAAATAAGCACGGAGTCTAAAAATAAAGAAACAAAAAAGACATTAAAAAAGAACAGACTACAAAGAATAATTACAAAGTCTGAGGGTTCAAGAGACAAAAATGTTTTACAGGAATGGCAGAAAAATCAAAGTGAGCCAGAAACTGCAAATGAGGCTCAACTCATGGAGCTGAGCAGCCCTGGACTGGAAGGACATGGGAACCCCACAGCTGCTCAGTCCTGGCAGCAGCACAGAAGGGAACTGAGCACAGAGCAGAAAAGGGGAAACAGCAGAAAACTGGGATATCAGGAAAGGGGAATATCAGTGGCAGGGCCAGCCAGCAGTGCTCAGCCAGGACACACTTCCCAGGCACAGTGATGGGGATGGAATGAAGTCTGGTAATTACAGGGAGGTTAATTAACCTCGACTACTGCAGAGCAGCGCTTTGCAAAGACATCTGGCTCAGTCCCTCAGGATGCACCCTGTGCTTCTCTGGCTCTTTTAGGCTCAAAGCTGCACTGCCACAGCTGAAGGAGCTCACTGCTGTGCCCCAGGGTGGGGAGGGGACAGGGACAGCAGGGGAGGCTGCTCTGGCTTTAAGGAAACCCTAAAAGTGGAATGGCACAGTCAGTGTGCAGAAGGAATGGTGTCATACCTGTGATAACAAAAAGCTGATTGTACCTGTGCAGTCCCTCTGGGTTTTGTGCTCCCACACTGATATTTTGGGAGGAAACCAGTGACAGCCACTGAGCAGACAGTTCCCAACACCAGCACTACTCATGACTGAACGTTTTACACTATGAAACATCCATTCACGAAAAACCCCGAGACGCAGACACTGTAAAACCACACAAGGAGGATTATCGAAGAGAAATCGCTCCCTGCACTCTCCTGGCTCCCAGGAATCCGGCAGGAGCAGAGGCAAGCCCTGCACACCCACGGCTGTTCCCGTCCGTCCCGGCCCCAGCGGGATCCGATTCCTGACAGACAACGCGCGTGTGAGCGACGACAGCACCGCCCCACAGCCTGCTCCAGAGCATTTACCATTCCAAGTCACCTCTCGGTGCCCACCTGGCACTGCCAGGCCGCCCGGCTGGCGGTGAACCCTGAGCGCTGCACCAAACCAGGGGGGTCCCTGCGCTCCCCACCAACAGCCCCTTCCACAGAGCTTCCATCAGCCCGAGCCTGCCACAAAACCCCCAAACAAGCACCGAAAACCCCGCAAAGCTCGCGGGTGGGGGCAAGAAAAGCCCCCGATGTGGGTGTCCCCCCAGCAGGGAGATAACCCGCCCCGGGAAGGGGCCGATGACCCAGGGCTGCGGGGAGCCGCCCCGCCCGTCCGTCTGCAGCCCCGGCGCCTTGCGGGCTGCAGGGGAGCTCCGGCGGGAGCACGGCGTGTTCATCGGCGCGGGGCGGACGGCGAGACCCCGCTGGCCGGGGCCGCGGAGGGACCCCCGCCCTTACCAGGCAGGCGGCCAGGACGGCCCGCAGCGCCTCCAGCCGCTCCTCGTCGCTCTCCTCCTCCCGCAGCAGCCCCTCGATGTAGGCGCCGTACACGGCGCGGTCCAGCCCCAGCGCGTCTAGCCGCGCTGCCAGCCAGGCCGGGAACGGCGGCGGCTCCGGGATTGGCATGGGGCCCGGGATCGGGATCGGGATCGCGATCGGCATCGGGGCCGCGCCCGCCCCGCCGGGCGCCGCCATCTTGGGCCTTCAGAGGGAGGAGACGGCGGCCGCGGCGGGACAAACTTGTGGCGCAGGCGGGAGCGGAGAGAGCGCGGTCGGGGTCGGTGCGGCCGTGCTCGGACGGGAGCGGCGGGGCCGGGCCGGGCGGACAGCCCGGTGTGCTCGGTGTGCCCCGTGAGCGCCCCGCGACACCTGCGCCCTTGGCACAGCTGCTCCTTCCCCCGGAGAGCGGTTTCGCGGGGAGCGGCGCGTCCCTGCGCGGCCGCCGTGCGGGGCGGGGCGGGCGGCGGAATTTAAACACGGACAAGCGGCGGGCTCCCCGCGGCTCCGAGCCGGGCAGGGCCATGGCCGGCACGGGCTCCCCTCGGCCCCTCCGCGGACAGTCCTTCTACCTGGACCTGCCGAGCGGCCGCAGCGCCCGGGACCTGGCGGAGGCCATCGGGCGGCTCGGTGGGGTGAGCGCGGGCCGGGGCCGTGAGGGGCTGGCGGCGACCCGGGACTGCGGGGGTCTAGGGGGGTGTCTTGGGGCGGCCTCGCCTCTTTTCTGACTCTGCTCATTTTTTAATGTTTCCTGATTTTCTTATTTTTCCGGTGAGCCGGTTCCCTCCTTGCTCCCCCGCAGCCGGAGCCCTGCGGGGCTGGTTGAGTTCGCCCCTGTCCCTCCGGCCCTCGGCGGTCCTGGACTTGGGACCGGCCTTTCCCTCCCATCGTTCCAGCTGTTCCAGGTCCCACCAGTGCTGGAAGGACTGGCGTGTATGTGTTTCATCTCTTCCCTCCTACCCTGTTGCCTGTGGGGCTGCTTGCCCAGTTGTTCCCTTTCTCCTTTATTTTTCTAAAACTGGTTATGTTCTCCTGGGCACAGAACTCCTTTCCCTCCCAACACTCCAGGTGTTCCCAGCTGCCTGCTCTGGCCAGTGCTGGTGACCACCATGAGAGCAGCTCCCAGTGGTGGGGAGCAGCTCCCTGCCCATGGAGGTGCTTCCAGTGGTGGTCACTTGGTCCTGGGGGCACTTCCCAAGGGCTGGGAACTGCCTGCTCCTCCTTGGGGGGCCTCCCAGAGGTGAGAATTGCTTGTGGGGTGATGGGTGCCCCATCAGCCAGTGATAAATGGTTTCCTGGTACTTTTTCCAGGTGGTTGTAACTGGTGTGTGGTTCCCCCTCATCGCTGACAACAGCCTGTGGCAGTTTAATCTTTTAGGGAGGTTGTGGGACTTCCAAATGGAATTCAACATACGGTAAAGTAGGGAAATGCCAACCAAGGTTCTTATCACGGAGCTGTGTGCTTTTATCATGATTTTCCCAGAAAAGCCATCTGGACCCTTTTCCCTGGGAGGCTGTTATTTGGGTGGATCCCTGTGGCATCCTTCATGGCCTCCAGGCTTCCTTGCTGCTGATATTCCTCATCAATTCCTTATCTCCTGTCCCAAAACACTTCAAAAAGTAGCATCACCCCAGTCTCTCAAGCTGGAGCTGAGCATGGGGTTGTACCTGTTATTCATCTTTCTGCCTCCTTATTGCTCTTGTGCACAGTTTGGTTCTAGCAGTTGCTACTATTTGTTTTCAAGCTCTTTATTCTCTCTGAGGTGATCATCTCCTCTAACCTCAAAACTTAAATCCTACAATGGACACACTTAGTATTGTTGCTGTTAGTAATGAAGGAATTGGATTATTTGTGGGTTAAAAACAATTTATTATTTAGATTAATATTAGTTTTAGAGGTTGTGAGATTTTAAAGGAGTAAGTTGTTGGTTATAGTTCAAGAGTAGTTATAAGTTTTTTGTTACAAGACCGTATATAATTTTTTTTTAACTAATGGATGGATGTTACAAGGTTTATTTTGCTTTTTAACTTATTATCTTTACTTAATTTTGTTGTACTGTGGATACTTTTGTCTAGTGGGCTTCTGTTTTACATGTACACATATGCTTTTATTATAACTTCTCAACTCTTAGCTTATTCTGTACAACTACACCTCTACATTATAAACTTTTCACTATCTTGTTGATATAGTTTCTCACTTACTGAAGGCATATTATTACTTACAACTATAGCAACACAAGTTTATGATATTTCTGCTTAATGGCTGTGTATTGTGTTTTTGTATTAATCTAAGCTTCTTCTAGAGCTATAGATCAAATCCTTCAGTGTTTGTGGAAGTTTCTGATTTTCTGATTCCCACACACACTGTGTAAAATCTTTTAATTTTTGCTGATGCTGTGTCCCTTTAGCCCTGAGCAGGGGTTGGCTGCACTGGCATGTGGGGAAGGTAACTTGCACTCTTTTCCCTTTCATGAATTGTTCATCCTGAACTTGCTGGTTTCTCTCTGCCCTCCCCTAGATGTGCCACCCACTCTTGGGACATCTTTCCCAGCTGGGCATCCTCAAGTCTGAGAACCCCATGCTCCCAGCAGACAGCTACTCCTCTCTGCAGCTGCTGTGTTACTTGGAAATCACTTTAGACTTTGGCCATCCTTCTGGTTCCTGTCACACACCATCCTGGCCCTCCCTCTGTGAAGTGAGGCCCTCTGGGAGTGGAGCTCTCATTCCTCTGGCTTCTGTGGAGATACTGGCCTACACCACAGCCACTGTCTGTGAAGGCAGCAATATCTGAGCCCAGGCTCTGTGTGTAGCTCAGGACACAGGTCAGGACATCTTGTGGCCCTTGGGCTTGCCTGTGGCACCTTGAACTTGGCATGGGGACATGGTGACACTCTGGAGTGTTATTTGGAGAGGGAGGTTGTGATTTCCTCTCTTCTGTGCCTGCAGCACAGCCTGCAGTGACCCTTGTGGCACTTCACACCCACTTCGTGGTTTGGGAATCTCCACCTACAGGGATTCTGCAATGGAGCAGAACCAGCTTGTTCAGCAGCTGTGATTTTGGGCTATCAAGATCTTTATCTTCCTGAGGGGCTGCACACCTCTGCCTCCTGGACAGATTCTGAGAAGCCAAGTCATTAGTGGCTTACAATACCATTAGTGTCCCAACTTTTGGGTTTCCACCTCTTCCTTGGCTGGGTAGCTCCTGTGCAAAGGTGTAAGTGTTTCATCTCTGCTTCCCTCCTGCCCTATTGTCTGTGGAGCTGCTTGCCCAGTTGTTCCCTTTCTCCTTTATTTTTCTAAAACTGGTTATGCTCTCCTGAGGACAGAACTCCTCCAGGCTGATCCATGATGTCCAGGCCCTTTTCCTCAGATACTGGGGTTTTTTTTGAAGCACTGTGAGGAGTGGGTGGTGCTGACAGAGTTCTGGGTGTCTGGATCTGAATTTCTGGTGACTATTTGCAGTGAGTCTCTGGGGCATCACAGGATCTCCTGGTCAGTATGGAATGAAAGAAGGAATGTGATTGCTCCCAGCAGCCCCTGGCTGTGTGGGGGTTGAGCTGGGACAGCAGCTTTGTTCAGCATGGCTCTGTCAGCTCAGGGTCAGGCACTTGCAGAGCTGCTCTGTTCTGTCTTGCTGCAGGTGACCGAAAGCTTCCTCAGCAAAGAAGTCACCTGCGTGGTGTCCAGCAACAGAGAGGCCAAGCGGGGCCAGGCCAGGGCTCGGGAGGAGAAGCAGAGCAGCCCAGCTGCACAAGGCACAAAATCCACGAGCTCAGTGCCTGCTGCCCCCAAAGGAACCCCAGCCAGACCTCGCCAGAAGCCACCATACACTGTAAGAGCTACAAAGGTTTTGTCCGAGGTGTCTGGAGGGTAGAATCTGGGGCGGTTTTGGAAGGTGGAGTTGTTCCTGCTCTGAGCAAATATTGTGTGTGTTTTTTTACCTGCTCTGTTCCTGTTTCCCTGGCTGTCCCTATTCATACCCTTGTTCTTTGTCTGCCATCATTGTCTCCTCAAACATGCATGTCACAGCTTTGGGCTGTAATCAAGGAAATCTGGAATGGCAGGGGATGTGGAGGCCTTGGCTGGCTTCTTGAGGGAACAGGCAGAGGTGTGGTGAGAAAGCCAGAGAAATATAGACAGAGAAAACCACTGCAGACTCTGGGTACTCACAGTCACAGGGCAAGGCCCTTGTATCCTGGGAGGAGATGCATGAGGGCCCCCTGCAGGAATGGGGTTCTCCTGGTCCCATTTGCCTGTTGGAGCTGGGCTTTCTGCTCACAAATGCTTGTGACCAAACTCCAACATCCCACCTTGAATGTGGTGTCTGCTGAAAGCTGTGACTGGGGAAAGGCAGCTGCCCCAGCCCAGGCCTGGGGAATCTCTGCCAACTGGAGCTGAACCACCTGCAGGGGGAACCTGAGCTGCAGAGGTTTCTCACAGTTTTTGTCTCCTGTCCTGGCTCTCAGCACTGTCCCTTGTCTTGTAAAGAGCTGAACCAATCTGCTGAGACCATTGGCTCAGTTCCCAGGATGTTCCTAACCCTGGCCAGCATGTTCAGATGCCTGGAGAACAGGAGGCTCAGGGGGACCTGATCTGTCTACAACTCCCTGATAGGAGGTTGTAGCCAGGTGGGGCTTGGTCACTTCTCCTGAGTAACAAATGGCAGGACAAGAGGAAACAGCCTCAAACTGTGCTGGGCAGGTTTAGGTTGGATGTTAGCTAAACTCCTTCATGGAAAGGGTTGTCCAACCCTGGCACAGCTGCCCAGGGCAGTGGTGAAGTCCCCATCCCTGCAGGGATTTAAAAACTCTGTGGATGTGGCAGCTGGGGACTTGGGGTCAGTGGTGACCTTGGCTATGCTGGGGAGGAGTTGGACTTTATGACCTTACAGGGCTTTTCCAGCCTGAACAATTCCATGATGCAGCAGGCAGTTTCCAAGCTAAATTGCTGCTCCCTCCTGGCTCCCTCTGGAGCCTTCATTTCCCTGCTGGTCGATAATTCCAAGCCTTGGCTGGTGCTGGTGGTGCAGTTGAGTGGTCCTCTCTGCAGTTTGCATTCTCTGAAAGGCTCTCTGCACTGGCAGAGATGAGCCCAGCAGAGTGTGGGGATCCCCAGGGATTGCTGCTCTCCAGCTCTTAGCCATGACCTGTTCATGTCTCCTCTCTCCACAGGCACTGCTGAGCCGGGGCAAGGAGCTGCTGAA